TTTTCCACTCATTTATGGGGTATTTAGACATTTTCTCTCCTATATGTATGAAAAGTCCCCAAGTACAGGCAAAGTTAGAAAGATCACACATTTACTATGATGTTTCAGGTGTTAAACAGGTACAACATTTCAGCAAAGCTTCAAAACAATTTAAAAGATACACATTAATGTTCCTATTCACAATAAGAAACATACTGAGAGGCTGAAAACTCTTTACCACGCACAAAACTGTTAAGTAGAGTGGTTGCATTCCAACACAGTATCATTTCATGACGGAATTCCTACAGAGGCAAGTAACCTCGACAGGAGGGAGCTGAGAATGACACACAATGCTAGTCTATGCTATAACAAATGAAAATAATAAAATCACTGCCGGGCATGGTGGTGCGCACCTTTAATCCCAGGTGGATCTCTGTGAGTTTGAGGCCAGCCTGGTCTACAAAGAGAGTTCCAGGACAGCTAGGTCAACACAGAGAAACCTTGTCTCAAAAGATTTCCCACCCCCACCCCCAAAAAGAGTAAAATCACTTACTCAGTATATCTTTGTGAGTGTAAAAGCGTGTCTTAAATGGCTTGTATTCATGGATCCGTTTGAAGGTTTCTCCGAAAGGGGCTGGTGGGATTATTTTATGGCAAACAGCACAGCAAACAAAATTAGTATAATCTGGATTTCTGATCATAGTTAAATTTCTGATTCCTTTTACTGCTTACAGTTAAAATAATATCAGGATCAGAAAAAAATGGTAGTTTCAAGAGAAGCTAGAAATCTAGGAAAGCTGGAAGAGGGTCAGGGTTTTAAGATTCTGCTAGAGGCTGGTAAGGACTAAACAATTCATCATGACTAGGCAGTGGCTATACGTCTAAGGAATGGTGCTAACAGCCTCTGCCATAGAAGCTATGGACACTGGATTTGGGAGGAGATAAGTAGTTTCTCTCTCCGAGTGTCTAGCACTAAGTTGTCAACTTACTTAACAACTGTTGCTAGGTAAGACAAGCTTTGCTCATAAAAGCAACTTGAAATAATGACAACTGGCAGCAGAAATGGCTGTTACTCATTTCCCTGAGTTTCCTCTTGCTGCTCTAACAAGTGAACACGATCTTCATGACTTCCCTACAACATAAATTTGTCCTATTGAACTTCTGGAAGTCAGAATCCAAAATGATTTTAGGGCTAAAATAAAGATGCCAGGAGGGCTGGTTCCTTGAAGAGGCTTTGGGGAGACTCTGTTTCCTGTCTTTTCCAGCTTTAAAGGCCATCTTCCTAAGACTCTCGGCCTCTGCTTCTGTGGAGGAGCTGCTCCCTCCTCTCATTTTTTGCCTCTCTGTGGATCCCTGTTTCTATACCAGGCATCTCCACATGAGCCAGGAAGGTCCCATAATCTCAAGATCCTAAATGTGATCAGAGCTGCAAGGTCCCTTTAGCATATATTCACACGGGCCAGTGGTCAGGATCTAGATGGCTATGGGAGGGAGCATTAGTCAGCTGACCACATTCTGTTTGAAGCGTGCTTTTGTTACAGAATTAATTCCTAACTAATGGACAGTGGAGGCAGTCTCCAAATCATTTTCAACTTATTATAAATGTGCTTTGGTGGTGTGGCAATAAAACTGGAAAATACAGTGGGATTCTATCTGAAAATTTACTTCCATTACGTCTGTATTCAAAATCACCAAGCCCGATTTTCAAATTTGGGAGGGCATCTTTGTTACTTTTCTATTGCTGTGATAAAATACCATGACCACCGGGCAGCAGTGACACATGTCCCAGCACTCGGGAGGCAGAGGCCCATGGATCTCTGTGAGTTTGAGGCCAGCCTGGGCTACAGAGTGTGATCCAGGACAGGTGCCAAAGCTACACAGAGAAACCCTGTCTCGAAAAACCAAAATAATAAAATAAAATAAAATAAAAAATAACAACAACAACAACAACAAAAACACAATGACCAAGGAAACTTACAAAAGAAAGTATTCAATTCGGCTTATGGTTGCAGAGGCTGAGTCCATGATGGTGGAATAAAGGCGTGGTGGCAAGAACTGGGAACTCACACCTTAAAGTGCAAGCAGGAGGCAGGGAGGGGAACTTCCAAGAGATAACAACAAACATGACAAAATAGAATACAAGATAAAACACAAACTATGGCATTGAAGTTGGACAAGGCAACCCAACAGAAAGAAAAGAGTCCCAAGAGCAGGCACAAGAATCAGAGACTCACTCGTTTACGTGCTCAGAAATCCCATAAAAATACTAAACTGAAAGCTATAATTTAGATGCAGAGGACCTGTTAGCCCTGTCACTGTGGGTTCTTATGAGCCTTGTTCTCCTGGTGTCCTCAATCCCCTCTGGCTCTTACACTCTGCCTCCTCTTCCTTGGCCTTCCCTGAGCTCTTTGGGGAGAGATTTGATAGAGGCATCCCATTTAGAGCTGTGTGTTCCAGTCAGGTGCACACCTTTAATCCCAGCACTCAGGAGACAGAGGGAAGCAGATGTCTGTGAGTTCAATCAAGGCCAGCCTGGTCTACAAAGAGAGTTCCAGGACAGCCAGGACTGTTACACAGAGAAACCCCCTCTCTCTCTCTCTCTCTCTCTCTCTCTCTCTCTCTCTCTCTCTCTCTCCATATATATATATATATATGGTTAAATAAAATAAAAAAAGAAAAGTGATGTGTTCCAAGGTCTCTCTCTGCCCAGTGTCTGGCTGTGGGTCTCTGTATTTGCTCCCATATGCTGCAGGAGGAAGCTTCTCTGATGATGGCTGAGCACAGCACTGATCTTGAGTATAGCAGAAAATCATTAGGAGTCATTGTTGATACTTTTTTTTTTAAGATCAGTAGTATTAGCTTTTACCCTAGGTCTCTGGGATACCCAGTCTCTAGTTCTTGGTTACCTACACAGTGTCAGGTATAGGTTGCATCTCCTGAAGTGGGTCTTAAGTCAAATCAGACATTGTCTGGTTACTCTCACAAGCTTTGTACAATCATTGCCCTAGTATATTTTGCAAGCAGAACAGCATTGTAAATGAAAGGGTTTGTGGATGGCTTGGAGTTTTCATTTCTCTTTTGGTGGCCTGCAGAGTACCTTCCCGTACCAAAGACACTGGAACACAGGGATGAAGGTTCTATGTAGGCACCAGCCTGATCTCTCCATGTTCACTGAGTTGTGTAGGTGTTGTCTTAAGCAGTGGGGCCTTGCTGTCAGTTTGTGGAGAGCAACCCTATAGTCTTAGCAAAAGCCTGGGTTGTTTGGGAATTTCCATTAAGACCCCTTTGGCCAATAACTCAATTGGATGTAACCCAGCCCTGTATTAGAAGCTTCATTTGGTGACAAGAGATCTCCCCCATTATTTGGAGACTTCATTAGACGGCCTTTATATATTTTAGAAAGTTTCCACGACACTAGGTTTCCATATCACAACTCCAATATAGCTGTCTCTCCCCCACATTACTTCCTCATCCCCACCTGATCCTTTCATTCCCCCACCAACACCCCTTCTACCCATAACGTCTATCTCCCCCTCCTAGGGAGATTCATGTGTCCCCTTTAGTCCCTTCCTCTATACCTAACCTCTCTGGTTACAGACTGTAGCTTGGTTATTATTTACTTAGTGGCTAATATCCACATGTAAGCAAATATATACCATGTCTGTCTTCCTGGGTCTGAGTTACCTCAGGATGATCTTTTCTAGTTCCATCCATTTGCCTGCAAATTTCATGATGTCATTTTTTAAAACAGCTGAGTAATACTCCGTTGTGCAAATGTACATTTTCTTTATCCATTTCTTCTGTTGAGGGACATCTAGGTTGTTTCCAATTTCTGGCCATTATGAATAGAGCAGCAATGAATATGGCTAAGCAAATGTCTCTGTAGTAAGATGTAGAGTCCTTTGGGTATATGCCCATGAGTGGTATAGCTGGGTATTGAGGTAGATGGACCCATTTTTCTGATGAACCATTGTATTGATTTCCATAGTGGCTATACAAGTTTGCACTCCCACCAGCAATGGATGAGTGTTCCTTATTCCACATCCTCACCAGCATGAGCTATCAACTTTACTATTGATCTTAACCATTCTGACAGGTGTAAGATAGAATCTCAAAGTAATTTTGATTTGCATTCCCCTGGTGACTAAGGATGTTGAACATTTCTTTAAGTGTTTCTCAGCCATTTGAGTTTCCTCTATTGTAAAGTCTGTTTAGCTCTGTACCCCCATTTTTTAAATTGATTATTTGATTTTTTAATATCTATGGTGATATTTTATTTGTACTGAAATGTGATTTTATTTGTATGTTAATAAATAAAGTTGCCTGAGGGTCAGAGCTAATAGCAAGCTATAGCAGAAGCTGGATGGTGGTGGCACACACCTTTAATCCCAGCACTTGGGAGGCAGAGCTAGGCGTATCTCTGTGTTCAAGAATACAGCCAGCATGGAGACACTCGCCTTTAATGTCAATACCAACCATTGAAGACCTTGAGGTCTGTACAGACAGGCAGTGACGAGGAGGCCATGTGGTTGGGTTTACAACCAATGAGAAGGCAGAACAGAAAGTCAATAAAAAGGACAGACACACAGGAAGTAGGCCTCTGGCTGAGGGAAGGACAGCAGCAGCAGGAAGGGTAAGGAGGTTTTTAGTCTCAGCTCTTAGCTATTGCTCTGACCTCTTGGCTTTTAACTCTGTATTTGGCTCTGTATTTCTTATTTAACAAGATGGTTACATCTACAAATACCTAGTTTTATTTCTTTATATATTTTGGATATTAGTTCTCTATCAGATGTGGAGTTGGTAAAAATCCTTTCCTATTCTGTAGGCTGCCACTTTGTCTGAATGATGGTGTCCTTTGCCTTACAGTTTCTCAGTTTCATGAGGTTCCATTATTAACTGTTGATCTCAGTGCCTGCACTAATGGTGTTCTGTTCAAAAAGTCTTCTCCTGTGCCAATGCATTCAGGTTATTCCCCACTTTCTCTTCTATAAGGTTCACTGTAACATTTTTAAAAGAAAAACTCCAATTACTTTGTTTTAATTCTTCCATTTAGTTATGATTTTAGTATCTGAAGGAGGTATCTTCTCTATTAAACAGCAAAACATGGATGCAAAGGTGTAATTCACCTTAACACATTAGAAACTCCATGCAAATTTAACAGTACTGGTTACTTTTTTTTTTATATACAGAATTTAACAAAAAAGACTTCCATTCTTATGGCATTTTCATAGAAGAAATATTGAGAAATCTTTTGTGGGAAAAGAATGAGATAATAGCTGCAGCTGTAACTAAATTTACTACAGGGGACTGTTTCCAACTGTATATTCTCTCTTGTTAACAGATTGTGGAACAAGAAACAGCATAATTCCATACTCTATCATAAAGTCTTCCATTTGAAGATTTTGGAGCCTGTAATGAGGCTCCATCTGAAGGAACCAGCACTTTAATCCCATTTAGATGTTTTTCTCCTCATGTAACGATGCCCTTCACTGTCAACAGCTTCATAGAGGTCCTTTTTGTTCTCTTGTGTTGCATGCAGATAACCAATATACGCCACACAAAGTGAAAGGGCTACCAATCCAAAGGCCATTACAGGTTTGTTCTGTCAAAGAGAGAAAATTATAAAGTGCCAGTGAGACTAATAATTCAAGGAGAGGTAAATATCACATTGCCCTTTCCTCTTGGCATGACAAGTCATTATTACCACCACCACCCCTCCCCCGGCATTCTAATGACAGTATTTTCATTCCAATCATTTCATTCGGTCAGCTTAACTCCTGGGTATTTACAGATGATATGAGACTCCTGCATCTCATCTCCAGTCTTCTCTTTGTAGCCTGGGCAGCTTAGGCCCCTACCCTAGGAAGTAAACGCTGAGCAAGAAGGGAGGTGTGAACACTGTTCTGGAGCTGTCCCTTCTCTGAGCTGCAATTCCAACTGAGTTTATTTTACTAGAGTGTGAGGAATAAGCACACAGGCTATTTCTCTTGCCCAACACATGGGTAACTGTCACAAAACCTTCCATAACTTATATTATGTACAGCAATGGAAATATATATGCCCTTCTTCTGGAACCTACTCTACTCAAGAAATTTAGTGACTCAAACAGATGCTATGCTGTTTTTATTACCTTGGGGAATTGCTGGAAAACCCAAGACCCTAAAAACCAAAGTAATATAGCTTTGAATTAAAGGGGTGGGATTTCCAGAAGTGCCTCTCTATTCTTTGGAATCCCTGTAAATAAAAAACCAGACATGCCCACCTTTGTACATGTTTATAGTTAATAAACTGGCTATCCCCTGGATAGTGCACATGCACAGCACTAATACAAACAGTAGTTTCTGATTCTGCCTCCATGTCTACTATAGCAATCCCCCATGCCCAAAGAGGGTACACTCCAAGAACCTCAGTGGACTCCTAAAACCAGAGATTGCCCCAGACCCTAGGGCAGTATATACAGTGCTTTTCTTGTAACACTTGTCTATGATTAGGTTTGGTTTACAAACTAAACACAACAACAATAAAATAGAACAATTATAATAACATATTGTAAGTAATTAGATGTTTTGACTCTTTAGTCAAAACAAATATTAATATATTTGGGGGACATGGTTGACAAAAGAACTGGAAAGAGAAACACCTAAGGGGAAACTACTGTATTACTATTTTTTTCAAAGCTCAGTCTCAAAATAAATGCCAAATTTTATCATCTGGATAAATATCTAAGGCTACAAGTTCAGAGCAGTTTAAATTTGGAATTATGAAATGTCTTCAACTATTAAAATTATATGACAGCTAAGGATTTTTAAATACTTTAATTAATTTGATCCATTTAACCTTAAAACAGTTAACAATGACCCGGCAGTGGTGGCACAAACCTTTAATCCCAGCAGGCAGAGGCAGGCGGCTCTCTGTGAGTTTGAGGCCAGCCTGGTCTACAGAGCGAGTTCCAAGACAGGCTCCAAAACTACAGAGAGAAACCCTGTCTTGAAAAACCAAACCAAACCAACCAACCAAACAAAACCAATTAAAAATGGCAACTATTATTGAAATTCTTATGGAGTATGAAATACTTCAATATTTATCATATTTAAAATTTTTATTTCATTTATTTTTGTGAGTAGAATTTATATTTAAAAATAAAGTTCATCAAATGAAATATATTTACTAGTTTGCAACACCAACAGAAATAATCTAGCTACGTACCTAATAGCATATAAATGTATGTTTTGGAGTTTTCTGTATGAAACAGCATTTAAAATTTGCCTTTACAAGACAAGGTCTCAGGTGGTAGCCTCAGACTGGCCTCAAACCTGCTTCTCCTCCAGCTCTACCTTGCCTCCCAAGGGCTGGAATTATAGGTATGCACCACTATGACCAGCTCAGGGGTCTTCTTAGTCAGCAAAGAATGTCCTTGATACAAACAAATGCTACAGAAAAGTGAACAAGTCTCCTGGATGTATTTCTTACAGGTTTAATGAAGAGCTCAGGATTCACAGCTCGAAATAAGGTTGTTGTGTGCGTCCCTCGGAGGCCTGGGTTTTCAAAGTTCCTCTCTTTTGGTGGTTCTTTCTTTACTGTTGGAGGCTCAGGTGCTGAAGACATCTTGACTACTAGAGAATATCACCTAAAAACAACATATATATATATATATAATATTTTTCTTCATACTTATTTTTTGATAAACTTCTATTTGAGAATCTTGCTATGCAGCCCTGGCTGGCCTGGAACTCCCAGCGTAGATCATGTTGGCCTCGAACTCAGAGAAACCCGCCTATCTGACTCCCAAGTGGTGGGATTAAAGGTGTGCTCCATCAGGTTGGGCCTGAAGCTCTTAAAACAGACAAACCAACCACATTCTTTCTAATTCTAGAGGTGCTCCAAGAGTGAGCACCCCCTGGTTATTTTTACATGGTGCTTTAGGTTCTGTTGGGTAAAATGACCCTTCCCATTTATCTCCCTCCCTCCTCTCCCTCTTCCCCTCCCCTTTTTCTCAGGTAAGCAAACCGAGTACAGTTTGGGAAATGGTTTGTTGGTTCTACTGTAGCCAGGGCGAAGGCAGAAGAGGAGTGAGGATAACTACCACACAAGGCAGAGAAGCGGGGACAGAAACGCCCCACAGACTTGCTAGTGACGACCTAAGGGAAAGACTGCAACTTCAGGAACAGTCCATGTTAGCGAGCTTTAGCATCCATACCTAGGCACCGGTGCCTTGTACAAGCAGTCTTGACTCACTAAGGCTTCTGTGTCACAGAAATGAAAAGCACTATTTTTGCAACACTTACAGAGAAAACTGGATGCTCAAGACTTTTGCTGCAATGACAAGCAAATATTCACCTTCAGTACTGCATTGGGTTGATTACTGTCAGGACCAGTAGCTTACACAGAAAGAATTTCCTATTTTCTCCCCCCACCTTGCTTTTTTTTTTAATAATAAAAAAAAAAAAAGATTTATTTATTATGCATATAGCATTCTGTCTGCATGTACTCTGCACTCCAGAAGAGGGCACCAGACTCATTACAGATGGTTGTGAGCCACCATGTGGTTGCTGGGAACTGAACTCAGGACCTCTGGAAGAGCTGACTGTGCTCTTCACCTGTGAGCCATCTCTCCGGTTTTCCACTGTCTACACCTGCCAGGCAAAGGTTGGTCTATCACTTGTTCTCCATGTGTGTTACAGTTATTGCTGCCAAGTCTTCTCCCATCACTGCTGACCTTCCCGTTCCACTTAGACCAGTGCAGGATTCACTAGCTCTTGAGAGTTCAATTGCTCCCGGTAACCGAAGTCTTTAGACCCCAACTTGTGACACCAGTGATAATAAGCAACTGAGGGCAGAAGCTGTTGAAATATGTCATTGACTGTAGTATTCCTCCAGGTGCAGCGTGAAGCTCTCACGGAAACCATGTCTGCTTTCTGTCCATCATACAGATGGCTTTATAGACCACAGGGTCTCAGCAACCAAGTGAATGGTTTGCTTCATGTGTAAGCTCTCAGTTTTTTCCTCCTCATCTAAAATCTGAGTTTTTCTGTAACTGGTTTCAAAAGTGAACTTCCAGTGTGTGAATTAAACTTTAATCCGAAAGAGTTCCAGGACAGCCAGGGCTACACAGAAAAACTGTGTCTCAGGAAGAAAAGAAAGAAAGAAAAAGGGGGGGGGGAGAGAGGAAGGGAGGAAGAAGGAGAAAGGAAGGAGAGAAGGAGACAGGGGAGGGGAGGGGATCAAGAAATTGTTGTAGGTGAGCAAGTGCTTGTGTGTGTGTGTGTGTGTGTGAGAACACACATGAACAGAATTTTTCATACTTGTTTATAAAGATTTATACTAGGCTCCACTTATTATATATGTTGCTCTCTAATAAAATGTATTTTTCTTTGTTCTGCCCTTCTTCCCTTTTGTGAGGGAAAGGGTATATTTCAAAGCAAGAGAATGCAACCCATGAAATAATGATACAACATGGAAGTCCAAACAACACGGCTCCAAACCAAGTCAGGACGAATCATCTTTTACTATCTTTTTCTCCTCTACTGTAGCAAAATTATTTTCAGGGGGATGATCCAGAACATACTTGGCAACTAACATGTGAACATTCACTGGATAGGCTGGAGAGATGGCCAAGCAGTTCAGAGTACGTGGTGCTCTTGCAGAAGACGGACCAGTTCCCAGCATCCACATGGTGGCTCACAACCACCCGTAACTCTGGTTCCAGGGGATCAAAGGCTCTCTCCTGGCCTCCACCGGCCCCAGACATGCACATGGTACACATATGTGCAAAAAAACACGTATTCTCCCCACTCTTCACTGAGGGACTAATGTTAGGAGAGGAGCATCCTTTTCTTCAGTGGTAGTCAATGGCAAGCTGATCTTGCTCTAGTAAATATGTTTCTACCCTACACTCCAGCAGAAAGTAATTAAACACACACACACACACACACACACACACACACACACACACACACACACGGAGGGGGGGGGGGGGGGGGGGGGGGCTTTGGGGGAAGAAAGGGTTCAAAAGCAGTGGGGGAGAAGAGTGGACAATGGGGGTCAAAACAACCAAAGCTCATTATATAAATGCCCGGAAACTGTCAAACAATATGCATTTTTCATTCACTCGAGGTGCTGAGATGGTTTAGTACAGTGCTTGCCAAAGAAGCCTGAGGACCTGATGAATTCAGTCCCTGGCGCCTACAGAAAACCCAGGCTAGCGGTGTCTGCTTGCAGTCCTCATGCTGGGGAAGCAGGCCTGTCTCGTCGGCGGCTCACTGAGCAGCCAGCCCAGTGGGATCAGGAAGTTCCAGGCTCCAGTGAGAAACTGTCTCAGAAGACAAGGCTCTTGAGGAACGAACGTCAGAGGATGACCTCTGGCTTCTGGATGCAGACAAACATGTGCACCTGAACAAATGAAGTACCTGTGTGTGTGCACACAAAATTCATCAGAACCAAATTGGCATGGCTACCTATATTACCCTGTACATGAAAATATAAACAATGTAAGAATTATTCCAGGAAAAAGACTCTATTTTCAAATATATATAGAGAAAGAATTGCTTTAAATGGACAACACATTTTAATGCCAGTATGAAAACACTTGCTATTAGTTTCACTTACTATACTCTTTTAGCGCTTAAGAAAGTAACTTCAAGTCTGGAGTTGGATACCTTAAAATAGTTTAAATTGCCTGGCAGTGGTAGCACATGCCTTTAATCCCAGCACTGGGGGAGGCAAAGGACTGGTCTACAGAGTGAGTTCTAGGACATCCAGAGCCACACAGGGAAACCCTGTCTTGAAAAACTAAAAATAAATAAATAGATAGATAAATAGATAAATAAATAATAAAACAAGTTTGAAAAATAATCAGAGGACTTTATGGCTTGAGGAAATCAAGCATAGACTTATCCTCAACTTTGGTACTTTATAAAAGGATTGATACTATTGACTGAAATATTACAGATGTGGATTTAACATTTTTTTAAGGGAAAGATGTTGATAAAATAGCCGTCATCCTACAGATCCAGTCCAGCCTCCCTAGCTCCGGATGTCTTTTCCCTAGGAAGGTGGGATAACCCAGTTCTTCCATTTCAGCCAACTTGTAATCCTCACCATCTTTCTCCAAAAATGATTTTTTGAGGAAAGTATTTTGCACTGAGAAGTTAATACAAGACACACAACCCATAAGATTTGCGATCACTTAAATTTAAAAACCCGAGTTCTGCCGTTTTTACTGTAAAATATAACTTTAAAAAGAAAATTAACACAACAAAAAAACCCTTTTGGTCTCGTGAGTTACCCCACTTGTGGCTCAAGGAAAGGTACTGTCGCCGTGGCAGGCAATCTGAAGGCTGTGAAGCTTTGCACAGCCGGGTCCGGATGTCTAGCCCTCTGTGGCGGCCTCGGGGTCAGCCTGGTGGGTCCCTGCAAGGCTGTGACCTACCCGCAGTTCACGGTGGAAGCCCCCAGAGGTAAGTAAGGTCAATGAAGTCTGAACAGTCGACTGTCAGCAACCCGCTGTGGCACCGCGTGCAACCCACAACACACCCCTGCGAGAGCCCGCAGAGCCTGACGGTGGGCAACCGCGAAGACCGGGAGGTTTCAGCTTGGACGCCGACAACGCGGAGCAGCAGCGCTCGAACTCTCCCGGCGTCGGTGCGCTCGGCGGGGCGCTCACCTTCCGGATCTCCCGGGGCGCTCCCTCCGCCGCCGGCCGCGGGCTGCGGGGAAGGCTGCACCACAGCGCCACCTATGCCCCGGAGGCCGCAGAGCGGGGCCCGGCCCGACCGAGACCTCTCTGGGAGCGCGGGCGCTGGAAACACCCCCCACCCCCACCCCCCCACCCCCGCAACCCCCCAAATGCAGGCTCAAGTTTGCTTTCTTGGGGCCTTTGACGTTCAGCCTCTCACATTCAAATACACTTTCGCTTCATGATTTTATATATATTCCGTTCCGTGTGTTTTATATATTTATATTTAAAGAGATATCTAGGAATATGCATTTAATGGACGTGGAAAGTGTATGGCTTAATGTGAGCCAGATCGCGAGAGCCGTCGAGGCCGGAGGCAAAGCTTTATTCAGGGTAGAACTGCCTGGTGTCCCCAAGAGAAGGGAAGGCAGCATCGCAGAAAAGGAGTCTGGGGTTTTATAGGGTGCTTTCCGTTGGGCGGGGTTGTGGTGGGATTACGTTAAGGGACAAGCGACTGGAGTTAGCCAAGTGTTAGGATGGTGACGGAGGGTTCTGGCTGTCAGATCAGGGGGCTGTAGTCAAGTGTTCTCCTGAGAGAGGGGGCAGCAGCCTTCTGAGAGGTGTAAACCGTTTATTTTCCATCCACACCCGCCATCCATCCATCCATCCTGGTGTCTTAGCTGACTCTATCTTGGGCCAAAGATCCGCGGGACCCAATGTAAAACATTGGAGATATATATATATATATATATATATGTGTGTGTGTGTGTGTGTGTGTGTATATGTGTGTGTATGTGTGTGTGTATATATGTGTGTGTGTATATGTGTGTGTGTATATATGTGTGTGTATATATATGTGTATATATATGTGTGTGTGTATATATGTGTGTGTATATATATGTGTGTGTGTATATATATGTGTGTGTGTGTATATATGTGTGTGTGTATATGTGTGTGTGTGTATATATGTGTGTGTGTATATATATGTGTGTGTGTATATATATATATATAGAGATAGATAGATAGATAGATATAGATAGATAGATAGATAGATAGATAGATAGATAGATAGATAGATATATCAAACACCTGAAATTTCGCGTGGTAAAGCTTTTGCAGATGGATTTTGTATTGTAAAACTTGTTCTTTCAGGTAAAACTGAACGTAACAGTTGATTTTTGTTGTGCCATGAATGATAAACCCACGGCACGAGGATAAAAGCATTTAGCAGATTAGAGTCCCCCCTGCTGAGCCAGCCGCTTGGTTGCCTAGCCCTGATAATCTTGGCAGTCTCTGGTGGTGAGTACTAAAGATTTTAAGTCTGTGGCGCCATGTTCTGAGGGCCCAAGAAAGGAGGAACGGGACGCAGTATGGCTTCTAGAGTCCGAGGGGGACCAGAGACTTATCTGGACTCCAGGCTCCCATGCTGGAAGTATCTGAGGCATTGGGTTTCTGGGACTCAGCCCAAGAGGTGGTTGATCTGCTTGACTCTGAGTGGTTTAGGGTTTCAGAAACACCTTCCTTGTCGTCTTCGTTGTCTATGCTTCTGGTGTCTCTCTTTCTGGCGTGGTGCCAGGCTATCCGGGTTGTCAATTTGGTTTTTTGGTTTTGCTTTGTTTTCTCACTGTTGGTCTTATCTCTTACTTTGAGATTATGGGTCAGGCTCCATCTATAGGTCCTAAATCTCCCCTAAACCTTATTCTACATTCCTTCAAAGACTTCAAGAAGAACGCCCAGGAATCTGGGGGTTCTGTCTTCACTGGAAAACTCCATACATCATGGCCTGGGTGCTTCTCCTGAAGACCCCCCAAAATGACTTCAGCCACTCCTGCAAAGTCAGTCGGAGGAAACTATCATGGTCTGACCAGTCGAGCCTTAAGCTCCTATCCTGCCTCTCCAAGGAAGACTCCTCCCCACTTCCTATGTGACCCCACCAAGGGCTCTGGCTACTAAGGCTGCCTAGACCTCCCTCCCACCCCACTCCCCTTACAAGCAAGTCCCCTCAACTGAGAAAAAACCCAGCTTCCTCTTCCATTCCCTTCGCCCACCCCCCTCATACCCTCTGTGGAATGTGTAGCTGGAGGGCTTCTCTCCAGGTCCTACCAAGCCCCGGCAGTCCCACAACCCACATATAAAATAAACACACAGATGCTTATATTATTTAAACTGTTCAGCCTAATGGCTCAAGCTTCTTGTTAACTGTTCTTATATCTTAAATTAACCCCATTTCTATAAATCTATACCTTGCCACGTGGCTTGTGGCTTACTGGCATCTTTACATGTTGCTTGTCGTGGCAGCGGCTGGCAGTGACTCCCTTTGTCTTCCTGTTCCCTCAGTTCTCCTCTCTGTTAGTCCTGCCTATACTTCCTGTGTGGCTACCAGCCAATCAGTGTTTTATTTATATAGAGTGATATCCACAGCAGGAATGACCTATCAGTCCACTCCTGGTTGTCCAGAATCCACAATCCTTCCTCTACACCAACCCCTATCCCCATACCAGGTGGCAAACAAGGGGGAAACCGGAACTGAGAACCTTACTGGGTTTACACCCCTTTCACCAGCAGTGATATATATATAACTGGAAAAGCCAGACTCTCCTTTCTCTGAGAAACCGCAGGGTATGATATCTCTTTAGGAAACTATTTTCCATACTCATTTCCCTACTTGGGATGACTATCAACAGCTGTTGCTAACTCTCTTCACATACAAGGAAAGAAAGATTTTGAAGGAGGCAAGAAAGCTGGTACCAAGAGATGATGGCGGCCCACCCCCTGGCCACCATCACTGAAGCAGCTTTCCCTTCCCCCTACCTGAAGGTGTGTCACTAGGCTTTGCTGGGTAGTCTCTGGCCTGCCGTTAAGTGCCTACAAATTTTTCCTAACATCAGCCAGGTAGCGCAGGAGCCTCAGGAGTCCCCAACCACTTTCCCGGACTGGCTGAGGGAAGCACATCACACCTACTCTCCCATAGATCCTGAAGCAGAAGAGAATAGGAGGGCCATTAACATAGCCTTTGTGACTGTGGGAGCCCATTCTGGGGTTCCTCGTGGCTTTACCCAGCAGGTCC